TAAACTAAACACAAAATAGCGCGACAGCCCCTCGCGGACGACTGCCGTGCACAAACGAAACCAAAACACAAAATAAAATCCAGGCCTGGTCCTCTCGTCTTTCACTGTCGTCACTCCTCCTTTGTATCCTTCCGGAGCTCCTCCGTGAGACTCGAGACCGGTGAGTGGCGCAGGTGTCGTGCATTCGCAATTACTCAACCGGCCTCGCTCCGTTCCCACGGCTCTCGGCCCCGCCCCTCTCGTCACAATATATATATATATATTATTATTATTATTATTATTATTTATTTAGTGGTCTCAGACTCAGAATTTTTTCTCAAACTTTACAAAAGCACTGCACATGAACTGTCAAGCGTTCACTGAATGCCCTGAAATCTTGACATGATTTTGTGCCCAGCGATCAGCGTTAGTGTTGAAATGCTCATAATGATCACTCAGGTTTTGTTTACGACACTGTACAAAATCAATATCCATTAGCAGCTATGAAGGCTGATTTGGGCTCCAGAATGCTTTTATCCCATATCAGTTGTTACAGTTAGAAGCAGTATATAATAGATTAGCTGTCTGTCTGTCTCTCTGTGTATTTAAGTCTGCTTAAGTTTCTGTCTTGTCATACATTTCCGTACAGTACAGTGAACTATGGCAAGAAATACTGAAGATTTTTTTTTTTTACAGTTTTGATGAGCAGGAATATTGTTTTTATGGCAACAGGTCAACCTTTTCTTCTTAAAGTGCTAATCAGACTTTTCTTTTCCTCTATTATAGGCATGCAGCCATAGCTGAGTCTCTCCAAAACTGCTTAGCCCAACAGTCCCAATTACTCCTTCATGTTCTGGCATCCATCATGGTGTATGGGCAGGTCCTGCACCGCCAAGGCCCCGAGGAGAGCTTCATCAACCTCAACGTCGGTGGCTTTAAGCAGCAAGTGGAACGTGTGGTCCTCCAACGCTTCCCTCACACGCGACTTGCCCAACTTCTCTACTGCAGCTCAGAGGCTGCTATTCTCCAGCTTTGTGACGACTATGCAGCTGCCGAATGCGAGTATTATTTCGACCGAAACCCATGGTTTTTTCGCTACGTGCTGAATTTCTACCATACCGGAAAGATCCACCTGATGGAAGAATTGTGTGTGTTTAGTTTCAGCCAGGAGATGGAATACTGGGGCATCAAGGAGCTTCACCTGGACACTTGCTGCAGCAACAGATTTCAAGAACAGAAAGAGTACGCAGGAGATCAAGACTGGGGAAACGACGATGACCCACAGAACCAGCTGCAGGACAGCTTAGATTCATCTATGGAGGAACTATCGGCGTTTGACAAAGACCTGGAAAAGTTTGAGGGCACCTGGTGCTCCGAGAAGCGTAAGGAACTCTGGTTGCGACTGGAAAACCCGGGATACTCGTGCTCTGCGAAAGTAACGGCGGTGTTTTCGCTGAGTGTGGTACTGATGAGTATCATAGCCATGTGCGTTCATAGCATGCCCGAGTTCCACCAGGTGGACATTAATGACAAAGAAGTAGAGAACCCAGTGTTGGCTGTGTTCGAGACCTTTTGCGTCCTCTGGTTCTCTATCGAGTTCATCCTACGATTAGCTGTCACACCATGTTTGTGCAAATTCCTGAGCAATGCGCTAAACATAATTGATTTCGCCTCTATTATTCCATTTTATGCCACTTTGGCGTTTGAAACCATGGATGCTGAAGAAAGCGAGGAGCTTGAGAACGTGGGAAGGGTCGTGCAAATCCTGCGCCTTATGCGTATCTTTCGCATCCTCAAACTGGCACGGCATTCGGTCGGGCTGCGTTCGCTTGGGGCGACTCTCCGTCACAGCTACCATGAGGTCGGGCTCCTCATCCTCTTCCTTTCTGTGGGAATCTCCATTTTCTCAGTGCTCATCTATTTTGTGGAAAGAGAGAATGATGAGTCGGAACTGCAGACCATACCGATGGGCTGGTGGTGGGCGACGATCACCATGACCACGGTGGGATACGGCGACACGTATCCCATCACGCTGGCTGGGAAACTCATCGCCACCTTGTGCATCGTTTGTGGCCTGCTTGTAGTCGCCCTTCCCATCTCTATTATCTTCAACAAGTTCTCCAAGTACTACCAGAGACAGAAGGCCCTGGTGGAGTCCGACCAGCTCCATCCAGAAGACGAAAAATTGGCAAATCTCAGCATGCCTTTACTTTACATAGGAGGCCTCTACGGACAAAAGATGACTCCCCTGGTGCGCAGTACGTCCTCAGTAGGGAGCGCAGGGAGCGAGGGAGATGTCACTGATGCTTCCAGCATTCAGGATGTTGAAATTGTCTGCCCTACTGGGATGCCACAGGCCTACAAAGCAACATAGATCAGGGTTCCTCAAATCCGGTCCTGGAGGGCCACTGCCCTGCAGAGTTTAGCTCCAACCTTGATTAAAATCACTTACCTGTGATTTTCTAGGGATTTTAATGACCTTGATGAGTGTTCTCAGGTGTATTTGATTAGGGTTGGAGCTAAACTATGCAGGGCATTGGCCCTCCAGGGCAAGATCTGAGGAACCCTGGCACAAATGTTAATATGTACAACCTTAAACCTTGATTAAGGTGAGAAGAAACAAAAATAAACTTGCTTGCTTAGATCTGCAGCACATGTTGAGGAAACACTAGCGGACCCTAAGACTCAAGGCTCTCATTTCTTACTGAGCGACTCCTGGACCTTCGATCAAAAGCACTTTTTCTCTTTAGTTCTCAGGGTGAAAATGTCTCAAGCTTTCCATTATTTATGGATCAGAACCTGTTATGGAAACTAATCCAAACAACAGGCTAGCATTGATGTTGTTGCTCTATACCCAATTAACAGCACTGATTGACAGGTGTTTTTTTTAATACTTTGGACAAGCTGTTCATTTAATTACAAGTCTTTCTGCAGTGCCTGTGGGAAAAGAACTATGCTTAAATGTTTTATAGGCAATGACAGCATCTAAAATGCTGGACTTCAAATGGCATGTTGGTGTACACCATCTTCCCTAATGTGTCCATCAGAGAGGGAAGGATTGAAAGACTGCATGCATATTTCAACAAGAGAGAGGAGAGGCCACAAGAGAAAGGAGAGAAGAAAGCATGAAAGAGATGTTACAGTTGAATAAAGTGTTGATGTACAGTAGATTTAAGTCTCTGCTCTTTATTCTGAAATCACTGCATGGGTCCATAGAGAGATTAAGGATCTTAAAAGAAATGGTTCCCCTTGAGATGAAAATGATGTTAGTTACAAAACCTCATGCCTTAAAACCCATAGTCTGTTATTGTGATGTGAAACAAATAATACAGCTCTTTTCAATATAATGCAGTTTATAGTGACCACTATAAACACGCCTGGCTCCATAAATGACTCAAACATCTGTAAAAAAAACAACAACAACAACATAAGAGTAGTTCATGACTTGTGGACTATTCTCCAAATCTTCTGAAGCTGTACTCTGTCAGCAGACTGGAAACAAAAAGGCTGATTTTTTAAATTATAATTTTTTGAAAGCCTTTCCCTTCAGTGGACTATTAATTTGAGAGCCTCTGCATAATTGACATTGGTGAGTTGAATCACGATTTGTGAATGAATCGGCAAGATTTGTATACAAGTTAAATGGAAATAACCGACTCAAAGGAACAATTCGTTTATTGATCAAACACTTGGGTTCAGTTCACTGACTCAGCGATTCTGAAAAGACCTGCATGATTTATTTATTTTTTTAATATTGCTTTTTGTTCCATAAAAGAAAGAAAGTCATGCAGCCTTGGAATGACATGAGTAAAAGTAAGTAAATGATAATTTTTTAGTTTTTAATCAACTATTTCTTTGCAGTGAGTTTGTCCCACCTACTCATATGTCTCATGAGTAATGCCTTATGCATTATTGCATGATCAATAATGCCTTATTGAGCATCAAGTTCACCTATGCTCTGTCCTCTGCACAGAGGGAACACATTCTCCCTCCATCTTGCTGTCTCTCTAATTTTTTTTAGAGTGACTTATGTCAGTAGGCTGTATTAGCAGCAGGAAGCGAGGTCCAAATGTTAGGGCTGTCTGCCACAGGGGATGTATTACTGCTGAAACAGCATCCGTTTGGCAAGTGGCTTTAACTTGGATAGATCGGTCTCTGTTTGAGACGTGCCCATTGATCAATGTGTCACACTTGTGTGCTCAAGTGTTTAAGGGCAGACTTGAATGTCTCATGAGTTACATGAATGGTGCAACTGACCCTTTTCAGCTTCAGCAAACTCAGAGATTTGGTGAGGTTTCAAGGGGAACGTGACTGGGAATAGAAAAATGTCCTTCATACACATTCTTACATTTATATTGGAGCTTTTCAGTATCATTAGTGATTTTGCAATTAGACTGCTTGAAAAATACAGAGAGAAATGTGGTTCTTATTTGTTAGTATATAGGAAAAGGTTTCAAGAAATAATTTCCTTTTAGAGATGGATTACATACCGTGTACTGTGGCAGGGTGACTCTTCTCCCTCCTCCAAGCCAGAAATATGAGGCCACCGCAAAGAGTCACATTTCTTGTTCAAACCATTGGTTTGGACAACTCACACAAATCTGGGCATGTTGTTTGCAAAAATATATATGCAATCACAGCACTGTTCCTTTGACGTTATCTTTGTTCTGTTCTGTTACAATATGAGCTGGTGGTTTAGGATGTGGGTTTTCACCCAGGGGAAAGCAAAACCCACAAACCAACGAGTTCCCACATCTCTATGAAAATGGCACTTAAGCCTGAAGTACTTCAGAAGTGAGGTGTGCAATTTCTGCATCACTACTGGCACCAAACAGAATTGCAAAAACAATTTCCAACACTTCCCATTTTGTATTTGGAGAAGCATATTCTGTTTTTGTCTTGTGCCAGAAATACACTACCATTCAGAAGTTTGGAATGTGATATTTTTATTCAGCAAGGATTCATTACATTTATCAAAACTGACAGTAAAGACCTTTATAATGTTGCAAAATATATATATTTCAAATAAATGATAGTTGTCAGAACTTCAGAACAATCAAAAAAAAAAGTATAACAGCTTCCACAAATATGTTGTCATATTCCTTCATTTTAGTCAAATTTAATATACATTTAAGTTTAGTTTGATGGAAACAAGCTTAAGCGGTGTGCTGTTAATACAGTAATTTAGCAGTGTTTTTTTTCTTGCCATGGTTTCATCAACTGTATGTTTTAATTCAAAATTGTTATGTATCATCATGAAGTTTTTCATCTTTTCTTTGTTTAATCAGAAAACCCTACGTCAATGAACATTTTTGTCAGTCATTTTGTTGACAAGATTAACACGTCCAAGCGCTTCTGCTCAAACAGACTGCAGAAATTACACATTTTACCCAGTGCCGATCCTAGACTTCTGGGGGCCCTACGCAAAACTGTGTCAGCGGGGCGGTGGAGTGGTTATGAACGAATGTTTGAAACGCATTTGTCCGTGTTTCACTCCGTCTCGAATTGCGCTCGCGGAAAGCGCTTGAGAAACAGTGTCTCTTCCACGGCTCGGTACGCTTTCAACTAATTTTTTTAGTCTCGAGCAAGACTGTACGACATTCACATTACATGATTTGACTGATTTTTACGTAAAAAGGGCAACAGCGCACCGCATTAAAAGAAATGATCATTCATGTTTTTATAACCGCTGGCCAAATTCAAAAATGAAACTAAAATTAAATAATCTTTGAGAGCAAGGGGGCCCCCTGGTGTTTCGGGGGCCCTACGCAGCTTGCGTATTTTGCATATAGAGAGGATCGGCTCTGATTTTACCTTTAAGATGCTTATGTTGATGGCCACCTAACCATATCAGTGGTCACATAATCTAATCAACTTTGTTTGACTCTCAACAAGGGCTGCAAACATATCAAACAAGCACTTTCTATTAGTGGCCAGTTCCAGTGGTGCAGACTATGAAATAAGATGAGCTGTTTTTTTGTTTTTTTTTGACCGTCAACTTATTTGTTTGTTAGGGTGATAAACCAGCTTAACAGCATTTATAAATGTCCAGTTAAATTGCTTTTTAACAGATGATTAATCCAACTGGTGCATAAATCGCCAGCCGAATGACAGTGTAACAGGTGAGTTTGGAAGCATTGGAACATCTTCAGTGCTGAATAAAGTCCTCTCTCAAGCAATTTGCCACCTCCTCTACATGGGTCAGTACACATCCTACTCACAAACACATTCTCTCTCTCTCTCCCTTTATCTCGTCTCTCACTTTCCCTTCTTTTTTTTCTTACCTCACACAGGAAATGGGATGGAATCATCTGTCAGTGGCCGAAAAACAAGTAAAAAGGCCGTGAAAATAAGTGTCTGAAGAAAACAGAGAGGTGATTTTTTATTTTGAAGTTTTGAGGTACAATAAATATCATAGTGAACAAGCCAACAATTTCTATATGGTGACTCGACTCACTATTTGTAAAAGTAATGTCACTTTTACAATGATTCACAAAAGACAGCATGTCTATTTAGACACTAGCATGATAATACTGATCAAAAACGTATGTAATAGATTATAAACATAACTGATTCATTTTATATATTGCACTAAGCTAAACTGAATGATAAATCTCTGATGTGACAAAATCAAAACAGCTACCCTGAAAGCGGCATTGTCAATCTTCTTGTTGATCAGTGAAACTAGTCCAATTATGGCATTCCAACTCTTGCTGAAGCTGTACTTACTGTACAGCTCAAAACTGTCCTGTTTCTCACTATCTGAAGATTGCCTGTCAGGCATCAGACCACTAAAGCCAAACTCATCTGTTTCACAGGGCTGATATGGATGTTATGGATCTCTGGCTGGACTGGTGTGATGGCGTGTTCAATCACCTGGAGTTCTAGAATTGATTTCGAGTGTTGAAGAGGTCACATGCTCGGCCAGTGTTTAATCTCCCCCTTTGGCCTTCAGCTGGGCTGTTCTACACTTCACACAGTTCCCATCAGCTGGAGGTCACCCTTCCGCTCAGTATGTATACATGCACTGATTTTTATTTCCTTGTTTGAATACTTAAATACTCTAAGTATTTAATAGGAAAGTGCCACAGAAAAGTTTGATTTTGCCAGTTTTATATATTATTAAAAAGTTTGCAGTAAGATTTTTAAAATGTCTCTTATGCTCACCAAGCCTGCATTTATGTAATAAAAATACAGTAAAACAGTAAGATTGTGCAATATTATTACCATTTAAAATAACTGTTTTCAATTTTCATATATTTTAAAATGTTATTTATTCCTGTGGTGCAAAGCTGAATTTTCAGCAACCATAATGTCACTCCAGTCTTCAGTGTCACATGATCCTTCAGAACAACATTTTTTGTAAACGTCTGTAATGTCACTTTTTTCCTATTTAATGAAATTCAATTAAGTTATAAAAAATAAAACGCACTGACCCCAAGCTTTGAACAGCACTATGCGTGTCTATGTGAACATTAAATATAAAATAATAAAGGTTAAGTTAATTCTGAGTAAATTACCAACTATGGGGTCATTCAGTAGGAGGTTAATGCTCTGGCTTTGCTGCTGTTTCAGTGAAGGTGAGGAAGATGATGGCGTCAGAATCCAGTATTTGCTTAATCAGCAGCTTGTGCTTGTTTATCTGAGTCAAAGATCAGAGAACGGCCAATCACAGCCAAACATCAACAATGTCAGCCAATATCTGATAAGAACATGGTAGAGGACACAGCAAATAACTTACACAAACACCACAAAGCAGGCGCAGATGTGTGTATCAAATCAATGGTGTGCAGAACAGGAGTTCCTGAAGAGATTCACACTCCAAAAAGTGAGACCTGGGTAACTGTGTTATCCGCACCTTGTTTTAGTAAGAATTAAGAAACGTGTGTCTGTGAGGCACCAGGTTGCACACGTTCACACTTTAACTTTCAGTCTCCTTCAAAGAAATATCCCGAAGTTTCCTTAATAACCTTCAGAGAATGATGTTGAGATATGGCCAGAAAGAAAGAGAGAGGGAAAACCGGGCGGCCCCGGCAGATGGAGGTTAGGGTTCTCCAGATTATTCCATTTCAAACAGGTAATGGGCTGTGAAATGAATACACAGTAAGCATTTT